GGGAAAGACCAATGTGTGTGCTGGAGGTGGGATCTCACTGGGGAAAGACCAATGTGTGTGTGCTGGAGGTGGGATCTCACTGGGGAAAGACCAATGTGTGTGCTGCAGGTGAGATCTCACTGGGGAAAGACCAATGTGTGTGCTGGAGGAGGGATTCAGGGGAAAGACAAAGGTGCAAGGTAGAGGTGGGACCCCACTGGGGAAAGATCAATGTGAGTGTGCTGGAGGAGATACAGTATCTCACTGGGGAAAGAGCCAATGTGTGTGTGCAGAGGTGGGATCTCACTGGGGAAAGACCAATGTGTGTGCTGGAGGTGGGATCTCACTGGGGAAAGACCAATGTGTGTGCTGGAGGTGGGATCTCACTGGAGAAGAGGCAAATTTCCTCCAGTGGCACAAAAAAACAAAGTAATAATTCACCTGCTCTCTCCTTTTCTCTTTGGGTCATAGCATTGTCCTCTTGTATTATTGCAAGTTCAATGGTTTTTTTAGATTCAATGTACTCCTTCAGCACTTCTTCCGCCTGTCGCCGCAGCTGAAGCGGATCCCAACAATTGTGCCGGGATCCGCCCAGCTGCGTAAGTGACAGCTGGCTCTGGCTATCTAGAGGCAGCTGTACCCGCCCCCTCCCCGTCAGTCAGCGCTGGCAGATCGGAGCGGGGAGGGGGGAATCCAGCCACTCCCCTGTCACGGCAGAGAGCCGTGACAGGATCGAGAGGTGAGTGAACGCCGGTATGTGTTCGCTCACCTCCCGATCTACTGAGCCGACCTGGGACAGTCTCATTGTCACAGGTCGGCTAAAACTATGAGGTGAGTGAAAAGCACGCCCCTCATAGTTCTCCTTTAATGATCGAGAGGTGGCTCCTGATCATGTGATTACTAGTTCTTAGACTCCTCCTCTGTCTCTTTCTTCTTTGTAAGCAGAAAATTATACATTGCATCTCTTGCTCCTTGATATCCGTACCTCTAGTCAATAGAGTACCAAGTTCGCACACCACTGAGCTCAGTCGCAGAATCGTCGCTGTCGTCACTTTCAGTGTCTGATGACGAGTTTCTCCACGAATCGCTATCGCTCAATTCTGCAAGTGATTCTAATTCACTATCAATGTTTTCTAGCTGCTCAAAAAACGCTTTCGACCTAAAGAGATGCTGTTTGGATGCCATGGACGTTCTCAAGTTTCCAGGCAGAAAGAACGGTCAAAGTGCAGGCAGTGCGCTGGACAAAGCTCTGGGGACAAAATTGAAGTGAAATAGTTTGATACATAAATGTAATCATAACAGATTACATTGTATTTTGTGTATGTCATGTTGTGTTTAATTTTCACTTTTTAAATCACCCGCTGGTTCCGCCCCCTGCGACGCGGGTGTTCGCAAGGGACGGAACCCGGAAGACGGATGCCGGGATAGGCCGGAGGACACAGCGGGGTTCGTGGACAAGGTAAGTGAAGCACAGTGTAATCCCGAGTCTGGCTCGGGGTTACCGGTTTTGGTACTGAAAATTAACCCCGAGCCACACTCGGGATTACCACCAGGAAGGTTAAAGAAAAGTGAAAAAAGTACCGTTATTCTCTGTGAAGCCGCTATACAGCAAAATCCCGTGTGTTTTTTTTTGTTGTGTTTTTTTGCTGTTATTCGGTGGTCACTAAAAAGAAAAAGTGCTTCAGCGCTGAAAGGGTGGTTAACTAAGTGTGCACTTAGTTATCACCCTTTTCTGTGCGGAAGTGCATAGCTTAAAGCTTTCTGAAGATGGAAGCTTTAAGTAGTGTGGTCTGTGCTTCAGCAATGAAAGGGCTTCCCCTCATTATATATCCTTTCCCCCTGATGAAATGGGGGGACGGATATGAAATTAGGGGAATGGATATGAAAATGGGGGGG